TGAAACTTGTAATGCCGCAATAGTCTTAAACAAAAACATAAGTAAACGTTTTGCAAAGCTAGGCATTATTGTTTCGCTTCACAACACTGTTAGTCGGAGATGAGGGCCCATGTTGCTACATAGCTGAGCGCGCATTTCGCTTAAATCTAAACGTAATTATTGTCATCCTGAGTGTATTTTGTTTTTATACCCGAAATTGTGATATAAGCCGTTGGTCAATATCAGATCAGCATGCCAGTGCTAGGCCATTTCGATTTCCTATGCTTGGAGAGTGAGTGAAAAATTAACGCAAAGTTAAACGGAGTCAATCGAAAACAAAAGTTCCAACCGACAAGAAGAAAAACTACTTTTAAAAGTTAACATTTTTATATGTATACATACCTATAAGGAGCGTGTGCTAGAGATAAAACTCAGTGAGTGGGCTATCACGACCCACGTGGTGTACTAAAACCCCTTTGGGGTCTCAGCCTGCATATATGTAAGTCAATGGTGAATCTATGTGGTTAGCCCGCCTAGCCGATCGTATTCTCATCCGGAGGTTTTTCCTTTTTTTTTGCTGTATAAAACACTTCGAAATATAAAATTTGCGAGTCGCAGCATTCCGTAGTCGATTGGTCGTACCGGAGCTGAAAAGGGGAGGCATCACGCCTTTCGTAGCCCTTGAAAGATTGGGCAGGTCTCACCGGTTAGGTCAAAAACTGTTTTAAAAATTTGAACAAAAACAAAACTTCATCAAAAACTACGTTAATACTCGTAATTAATAATCCTAAGTCTACTTTCTTCTTTGTTAGAAAATTACTAAGAAACATTCTATTCTATTCTATTGCAAATTAAATAGATACTTAATATTAATTTTTTTCATGCTTAAGATCTAAATACTTATTTGACTTAAAATAAGAATATACAAAATTAAGTTTCTTTTGTTGTTACTCTCCGCATAGAATTACAGGCCTATTCTGCTTGTAACCGAACATTTTGTAACAAGCTAATTTTGTTACCAACAATTGTCACCACTTCTTGCAACCGCAATTCTATTTACCTTGGTAACGTTTTAATTTATTCAGCAATTCAGCTATGGAGTTTTGTTGAAATTCTGGTATTGCATATTTCACGGGGCAATATTTTGTTACCTGCTCATGAGGTGGTAACAAAATTTACCGGTTACAAGAGTGTGGAGAATACGAAAAGGTTTAAAAATTGAATATCTGAACCTAAACTGTTCCGATTTACCGCCTTATTCCCATAACACTGACAAAATTCATCGTATGACTATTGTCACAATTATTGCGCCTAAAACACAATATGTATGTATGTATTAACATTGTTTCACCGTTGTCGCGTACGCAGTAGGTCATAACAACAACACTGACAATTGTCACCATACGAGAGCTTAAAATAAATTTGCGGTATTTTCTCACCCTTTTTATAAACTCATTCAAAGGATGAAAGAGAAAGGTAGGATGAACGAACGTCATTCAAAGTTGAATGAAGATGTGGTGGTGTTTGAAAAAAAGGGACACGAATGACTTTTTTTGGACACAAATAAAAACAGTGGAAATACCTTTCTACTGAGATCGCATAAGTCTAAATCAGAATAGTTTTCGCCCAGTTATTCAAGTCTCTCGTAAATCAATCTTTGAAAAAAAGTAAAAAAACAGCATCAAAAATCTCATTTTTACGATTCCGTTAAAAAGATTTTTAAATATTTGTATTTGTAATAGCAAACCGGCATTTAAATATCTGCATACATACATATACATACCTAACCAATTATGCATGTATGCTGAATTCACCGACAAGCTTTTTTAAAAACGAAGTAAATTAGTACAAATTGTTAGTAATTTTCATTAGAGTTTGAGTAACTCCTTTCACTAAATGGCTTTTAATAGCTTTAACGAGACCTTAACTTATTTTATTTTAATCATTTTAGTGCAGTTTTGACAAAATTTTCATGCTAAAAAATCTTTTGTTACACTACTTTATTTTATTCCTTTGTGTTTAGGCCACTAGACACAACTTTGAAAAGGGTGAACCACCCTAATGTTCATGTGCATACACACACCGATATATACATACATACGAATATGAGCATATAAATAATTGCATTATTTTTCCCGCCAATTATTATAACGAATTAGCCAAATTTCCCCTCAGCACATCTCGCTGTTTGAGGGTTCGGCTAAATCTGTCAACAAATAGCGCGGGCATTCCAGTTTTTCACTTAATAGAGCACGGACGCCTATCAGCCACCACCCTTCATCACACACCATACAGGTAATATTTCGTATTCACCTTACATTTGTATATGTGTATACATACATAATTTATAAATAAAACACATATTTGACGAAGAATTAATTTTTCGTGGCTTTATTTATTTTCTCGGCCTACACTGAAAATACATTGGTGCAACCTACGGCAACATACGGAGCTTCGAAGAAAGTAGTTGCACCTATGATCACTTTGGTTGTACATGTTAAATAAAAGCTTGTTTTTAAAAAAATATTTTTTTACATTATTTTATTTTGAACTTTTTAGTTATATTTTATATAGCCAGGACATAATATTTTTATTAAGGGCTGACTCTCCATTTATGAGCAGGGTACATTTAATATATGCGGCGTAAACCTTTTCGATCATCTGTTTAGGCTGAGCGAAACACGTTGAGTTCAGGTAGCGAAAAAATTGTACGATGGAAAAATGGCGGAAAGTTGGCAACTGTTGAACTTAGCGGAACTACTCAACTGTGCGTTTCTAGGACAAACAGTATACGGTTAGACAATATGAACGCGCCCAATGTGTCACGAATTAGGAGCATACTCAGAAACAAATCGGTGTGTTATTTAATTTAAGCATTCAGATCAAGTACAAACCACACACCCGGTAGGTGCTCTGCAGAAATTCGTATAGAAATATCCCAAGGTTAACAGCTGATTTATTCAAACTAATTTCCGGTATTTTATCTTACCAAGGAATTCACAATAGAATCTATCATACCACTGCCTAAAACTATCCTACATAGTTGCGCCGGCAAATTACGCTCTGCTATCACTAGTAGTAGTGAACACGCTGTAAAGAAGCTGTTAAGCAGGGATCGCACGATTTGTACATTTGTACAGACACAGAGTGAGAGAGAGAGAGAGAGAGAAATAATGAGTTTAGCTCAATAACAACTTTCAAACAACACCACTCTGTAACTGCTAAAATGTACAAATCTTGTGATCCCTGTTTTAGATAAAGATAAACATAGGGTGCTGCGAAAATGTTAAAATTTCAAGCTAAGTGCTTAGTATACAATTAGGTTGTATGTTTGTTGTGTATGTGGAAATTCTTGCGAAATATTTTGAAATTTATCGCTTTTTTCATTCGCAAACGGAAATCGAAAATGGAAAGCACGTTAGTATTGTTTATGTTTTAGTTAAATTATAGCATTTTGTTAACTAATTTATATTCCAGAGTAAAAAGAACAACTCGCAGACAGTTCGAAGTGCTCATTAAGTTAATGGAGCAAAATCCAGACCTTGCCAAAGGCATGAGTAATTTTGGGTCAACAAAAAAAAAAATAGAAATGAGCTGTGGGAGGGTATCGCGCTAGAATTAAATAATATCGGTCCACCAACGCGTAATGGTCGAGAGTGGAACAAGGTAAGAAATTAATTTAATTGTCTTTTTAAATTAATTAAATTCCTTTTATATAATTTACTTAGGTTTGGCTGGACTATAAACTAAAGTTAAAAAAAAAAAATTAGCCGCAAATCGCCGTGAGACTGTTGCCAAAGGTGGAGGACCCTACTCACAACGAAGTCTGACGCCTTTGGAGCAGACGGTCGATGAGCTGCTAAGCTTGCAGCAGGCAGTCAATCCAACAGGTGCTGCTTTTGGACCAAGTTTATTTGATCAAGAGGACGAGGCACAGGCGGGCCAGACACTGGACGACCACTCACAGGACGACCAAGTACAGGACAACCCGACACCTCAAAATCTGGACGTAACGCGGACGCCGGGCAGACGAAGACGAACGACTGCTATAGAGGAAAGAGAAAATATGCGTATGAAGGCTTTAGAAAAGAAGGCAGAGGTACAAGACAGGTTATTAAAACAATGGAAAAAATAGAAAGAAAAATAGATGACCTTTCACGTTACGCAAGAAAAACTTATGAACTGGAAAAAGAAAAAAATAAATTATTGAAACTGAAGGAAGAGAGAAAAAAACAAGAGAATTTAAATAAAAACAGGCGACATAAGGAAAATGTTGAGATCAAATTGAAGGAATTAGAACTAAAAAAACTTAAATATCAAAAATAAACAACAGTCATTAAAACATACAAATATCATTTTTATGATTGACGGTTAGTTTTTATTAAAGAACCCAGTATTATTTATTAATGCCGAAACCGAATCGAACCGAACTTCAACGATTCGCGTTTTTTGTTTATTTACTGTATAATTTTTTTTGAAAGTGTTGCAAGCATAATATAAATTAACATTTTAAAGTTTCTGCAAAAATAATAAAAACTCAGCAAATTTTCATTGACATTTTTAACTTTTTATTCCGAATTTTTACAAAAATTTTGGTATGCAATTTTAAAGCCCAGTCAATTTCAGTAGGATAAAGTACAAGTTTCCAGTCGCCAAAAGTTCAAGTTGATTTTTAATAATTTTTTTTTTTTTACTAACGGTACTGGTCATTGTCTTCCATATAAAAGAAAGTTAGAACTTACTTTATGTATGTACATATATGGAAGAAAATGGAGAACAGCGGGAATTCTTAGCGACTTTAAACTTGCACTTTATTCTATTAAAATTGAATGGGCTATAAAACTGCGTCGCAAAATTTTTGTAAAAATCTGAATAAAAAGTAAAAAATTTCGGTAAAAATTTGCTGACAAATCGGGTCAAAATCTCATTCGCTTAATTAGTTGACCACAAGGGTACGTGTGTGAACTTGAAAACATGAAAAACTAATTCATATAAACTTATAATGCATTGGCAATCTGTCTTCAGCGACGCTCTTCTGCGGAACCACTAAAGTGTTCTTCCGGTGGTTCCAATGGTACCACTACATCGACAAAACTATCGTTTCCCTCAGGATCATTTACGTTGTATTGTTTGCAAATATTGTGTAAGGCATAACAAATGTTAACTATCATTGTCACTTTACTAGGAGCGTAGCAAAATTTTCGCTCATTTAGGAGACATCGGAACCGACACTTCAACACGCCAATTGTCCTCTCCACAACATTCCTAGCTTTTGAATGTTTTTTGTTAAAAGTTGCCTCTATTGTTCCTGGTAAAGCGTTTCGAAACGGTGTCAACAAGTACTCGTGTAGCGGGTATCCGGAATCACCTAAAGAATATTTCGTTATTCATACTTATGTACATACATACATACCCTTATGGTCAGCTGATTAAGTCAAGTGACATTTTGACTAGTTTGGACTAGTTTTCTTTTGTTAATTTAATGTTCATATTTTTTTTATAAAAGTCTAGCACTTTACCTAACCAGGGCCACATAAATCCACATTTCAAACTTCGTATAAAAATTATGAAAATTTAACAAACTTTAACAATTGCATCCAAAAATTTTAACCTTTTAATTAGAATTTTAGACAAATTTTTCGCGTTGGTTTTCAATATTTTTTTTTTTTGCTGACGTTATGCATTTTCTTGCATATAATAAAGTATGCTCGACAATTTCGTTTGTATGGGGAAGAATGTCTAGCACCATCAGCAAAAAACAATTTTAAAAATCTATTCAAATTTAATGAGCTATAAAACCGCACACCCAAAATTTTACTAAAAGATCTAAATAAGAAGTTTAAAATTTTTGGATGCAATTGTTAAAATATGGATTTATGTGGCGTTGGTAGGTAAAGTGCTAAACTTTTATAAAAAAAAATATAAACATTAAACAAACAAAAGAAAAAATAGCCAAAACTAGTCAAAATGTCACTTGACTTAATCAACTGACCACAAGTGTATACATGAATAAATTTAGAGGAAGCGCAATTTGAAGTACCTAAATAAGCAGAATTTTGATCTCCTCTTTGATACGTATTTTCCAAATACCTCTTTAAAGAGCTGCTATACCACACAAACGAATCGTGGGTAGACCCGGCATATCGTGCGTCAACAAACCGTATTAACATGTCATGGTCACAAGCCTAATTAATTTTAAAAAATAAATAATTTGTGTTACAACAAAATTCAGTTAATGCACATGCTTGTTAAGTACTTACAATCATTGCATTTATGCCGTAAAACCCTTTTCGATTTAAATACAGGTGCTTATTTTCGCTGGACGCAATAATTCCAATATGGGTTCCATCAACGCAACCAATTACATTAGGAATTCCTGTTTGTGTATAAAATTTTCTTCTCGCCTGTTGCTTTTCCGCTTCTGTCATGTGAGTTTTAATCCATGCATTGCAAGGTTTTGCTTCCATGATTGGGAGCATCTCTTTCAAAGTCAACGAAACTGTGGGCTGCGCAAGACCTAACTGAAATACATTGCCCACAGTTTGTTGTTAACTCCCATGAGCAAAAAACTTTAGTGCGCAGCGCAATTTCAACATTGACGTTACGGATGAAGAAAGGCGATTGGAAAATTCGTCTTTTAGGTTGTCTAGCAGGTACTTGAAAGCATCTTTACTCAACCGGAAGTTCATTACAAATCTGATTAAAAAATTTTTATGGTGATCATTGTACAAGCACTTGGACGTTAATGATTTATTTCAAAAGATAACTTACACTACGGAAGGCAATTCAATAGGATTGGAGTGGTCCCTGATAAAGCGCCGCTCCCGAAGTAAGTTTGCCCTTCTCTCCGGAACATCATCGTCTTCAAAAAACAAATCCACGTTGTGAAACATTTTTTGTTTTACTTTTTAAATTACAACCACAGTTTATTCAAAATATAATTTATAAACAAAACAAACGAAATTTAATTTAAAGACGTCAAAAATGTCAAACTTGGTTGAATACATTTGACAATAAAAAAAAACTAAGCGAATGTATTCATTCGCTTCTCATAATCTCAGTTTGTCGAATTTTCGCCAAACCGTTCGCTTCGCCAAAAGCATTCGCTTCGCTAGCGGCAATTCCAGCCTTAATAGTATTAAATGTGTATGTGCAAGTAAAATTACAGGTGGTCGAACATCAAAAATCAAAGTAAAGCTACATATATCATATCCAAGAGTCGGTACTTTGCACCTTTTCCAAATTTTTAGAACTTACATTGCACCGTAGCAGTAGTCGTTCTAAGTTTGAAATACTGACAGCCGATTTCTCAGTGGATGTTTAATTATAATCGAAAGATTATCTTTTATTGTCATCTTCTCAGTGTACTTAATATATGATTAACTCACCACCACCTTTCATAAGATTTATTAATGGCGAAACCAGCTTTTCCTGTAAATCCTGTAAAACCTGCAAATCGTGAAGTTGGGTTGGGTTGAATCCAAACAGTTTGTTAATTTGCGAAATCCAGGAAACGAAACAATTGCAAGCTGACACCTTTTTAATAATGGTTTAAATTAAATTAATGCTTTCAATCTGCTCACACGTATGAGTTGTCAAAAACCATTGTTTTGAACATGTAAACCTCAAGCAAATGTCAATTACACCAATTTACAAATATTAAATGTAAAAATCAGTACAAACTCAAAAAATCAGTAGATTTTGCGTACTGATTTCGGGCTCTTAAAAATCAGTACAATAGAAAAAAACAGCACACGTACTGATTAAATCAGCGCATTCGGCCACCCTATCGGGAAGTTAGTTTGAAATCCAAGTTAAATAAAAGCTTGTAAAAATAGCAAAGGGTGCAATAACTGTGTACATCCAAAGCTAAAATTATCACAATAAATTACTATTCTTAACTGAAAAAAAAACCAATATTTAAAATGCAAAACTACACTTAATTTTCTAATATATTCTTCCAAAGAATCTTCTTGGTCCCGCAAAGTTTCTAAATTTTCGAAGTACCACAACGTGGTCACTCTCACTTTTCCGAATTTTTTGCAATTTCCCCGATAGCAGGCTCGTATGCCCTGTTATTTTTTTTTACAGTTTCTATCGTGCCAGTTTTGTCTACTTCCCTCTAGTTCGCCAGCAGTTTTTTCCATGATTTTTGTTTTTTATTCCTATCTTTATATATTTCAATTTTACTTTGCCAAATCGCAACTTCTCCCTTCAAAAATTCCAAAAAAAACTTCTAAAAATCGCTTACTTGCAATTTACCGCGATGCCCTCACTTCAATGGTTCAAAATACCCTGACATGACGAAATGGGTTAAAAGTAAACTGATATGACCACTTGGGTTAATGTTCGCGAACTGCGCCATTACCGGTCGAACAAATCAGAAAAGTTTGAAAATTTTCAAATCCGTCTGATTTGTTCGCGCACCACGCCACTAACGAGAAAAATGACATCGAACACCAACAAATCCGTCTGATTGGTTCGCTCTTAGTGCCTAGCATTAAGCAGATGCTCGACATAGCGAATAGCAATAAAATAAACATTTGCGAACAAAAAAGTGAAATTGAGGAGCTAATAAGCAATCATAATAAGGAGATCGCTGCATTATTGGCAAACAATGAGAAATATTTTAAGAGAGTAGTGGACAATTGGAGGATGGTTCCGTGCGCAGAAGTGGAAAACTTTTGACTGCCATTCACCTGGGAGTGGCCAGAAGCGATTCTTGTGCGTACGGTTCAAATCGCAGCTCACAACGTCCGGATATTTATATCCACGTATCCTCTGGGTAGCAACCAAACACCCGTTTGGGAGCGAGCTAAAGTGAGAAGGCGTAAAACTTCGCGTGCGCTGGGTTTGGGTCCCGCCACGTTAAAACCCCGCCCAATGAAAAGAAAAAAACAGCCTCGGATGAGACCCCCTTTTTCTGATGACGACCACGGCAAACGTATAAAGGACTATGATTTAAGGGTATGCACCTGGAATATCCGGACCCTTAATGGGGAAGGTGCCTCTGCCCGGCTGGTTGATGTCCTCGGGAAGACAAAGGCTGACATCACCGCCATCCAAGAAATGCGATGGACGGGGCAAGGTAAAGTAAGCGTGAAGCCTTGCGACGTCTACTACAGTTGCCACGTAAAGGAGCGCAAATTCGGTGTTGGATTCGTGGTAGGAGAGAGACTCCGTCGCCGAGTACTGGCGTTCACCCCGGTGGACGAACGTCTAGCCACAATCCGCATCAAAGCTAGATTCTTCAACATCTCGCTCATCTGCGCCCATGCCCCGACGGAAGAGAAGGATGAGGCGTCCAAGGATCTCTTCTATGAGCGCTTGGAACGTACATATGAGCGCTGCCCCCGACACGATGTCAAAATCGTGCTTGGCGATTTTAATGCCAAGGTGGGCAAGGAAGGGATCTTTGGCGCCACTGTCGGAAAATTCAGCCTCCACGACGAAACGTCCGATAACGGACTGAGGCTGATCGACTTCGCCGGGGCCCGAAATATGGTAATATGTAGTACTAGGTTCCAGCATAAGAACATCCACCAAGCTACATGGCTGTCTCCAGATCGAAAAACGAGAAACCAAATCGATCATGTTGTGATAGACGGAAGGCATGCTTCAAGCGTTTTGGACGTACGTACACTCCGAGGGCCAAACATCGACTCGGACCACTATCTTGTTGTAGCCAAGATACGCACCCGCCTCTGTGCAGCAAAAAATGTGCGCCCAACAATGCAAGGAAAGCTTAACGTCGAAAAGCTGCAATCACAACAGACGGCCAATTTATTCGCCACTCGACTCACACACCTGCTCTCTGAGAGCACTCTTCAACAATCCGACGTACGCGAGCAGTGGAACCACATTTCCCGATCATTAAGTACCGCCGCCGAAGAAGTAGTTGGATTTCAGCGAGCCCGAAAGAACAACTGGTACGATGAGGAATGTCAAGAAGCCGCAGAGAAAAAAGATGCCGCCTACAGGGCCACGCTGCGATCGGGCGCAACGCGAGCCATGTGGGACCGTTATAGGGAACTGAAGAAGGAAGCGAGACGTATTTGCCGCAATAAGAAGAGAGAGGCCGAAATACGTGAGTGCGAAGAGCTTGAGATGCTGGCCGACAGGAAGAACGCCCGAAAATTCTACCAGAGGGTTAGGCGACTTACGGAAGGTTTCAAGACCGGGGCGAACTCCTGTAAGAACAACAATGGCGACCTAGTGACCGATGTCCAGAATATACTTAAATTGTGGAGGGAACACTTTTATAACCTACTGAATGGTAGCAGCGCTGAAAGTAGTGAGGAAGACGAACCCGAGTCCCCAGTCGATGATGATGGAGTAGCTGTCCCACCGCCTGACTATGACGAGGTACGAATAGCGATTACGCGGCTGAAAAACAACAAAGCTGCTGGAGCTGACGGCCTGCCAGCCGAGCTATTCAAGTACGGCGGCGAGGAGCTGATGAGGTGCATGCATCAGCTCGTATGCAGAATATGGTCAGATGAACGCATGCCCGACGACTGGAATTTAAGTGTGCTCTGCCCAATCCACAAGAAAGGCGACCCCGCCATACGCGCCAACTACCGCGGAATTAGCCTTCTAAGCATAGGTTACAAGGTCTTATCGAGCGTATTGTGCGAAAGACTGAAGCCCACCGTCAACGAGCTGATTGGACCTTATCAGTGTGGCTTTAGGCCTGGAAAATCCACCATAGATCAGGTATTCACAATACGCCAAATCTTGGAAAAGACCCGCGAGAATAGGATCGACACACACCATCTATTTGTCGATTTCAAAGCCGCTTTCGACAGCACGAAGAGAAGTTGCCTTTATGCCGCGATGTCTGAATTTGGTATCCCCGCGAAACTAATACGGCTGTGTAAAATGACGTTGAGCAATACCACCAGCTCCGTCAGAATAGGGAAGGACCTCTCCGAGCCGTTTGATACCAAACGAGGTTTCAGACAAGGGGACCCCCTTTCGTGTGATTTCTTTAATCTTATGTTGGAGAAGATAATAAGAGCCGCAGAACTGAACCGCTCAGGCACAATACTTTATAAGAGCGTACAATTGCTGGCGTATGCCGACGACATCGATATTATCGGTAAAAACAAGGGCTACGTCTGTTCTGCCTTCTCGGGATTGGATAGAGAAGCAAAGCGAATGGGTCTGGTGGTGAACGAGGACAAAACGAAGTATCTCCTGTCAGCACACAAACAGTCAGAGCATACGCGTCTTGGCACCCACGTCACTGTTGACAGTTACAAGTTTGAAAAAGTAGACGACTTCGTTTATTTGGGAACCAGCATTAACACCAATAATAATGTCAGCCTTGAAATCCAACGGAGAATCACTCTTGCCAACAAGTGCTACTTTGGGCTGAGTAGGCAATTGAGAAGTAAAGTCCTCTCTCGTCGTACAAAGATCACACTCTATAAGTCACTCATCATGCCTGTGCTGGTGTATGGCGCGGAAGCATGGA